GATAGATGTGAAAAGAATAAATCAAACAAAGATACAATAAAACAAAAAGAAAAAGGAAAAAAAACCTCCTTCACAACATGAATCATAAATGAAACAATTAGCATAAACATTAATGTCAATTAGCAAGAAGACAAGTTCAATTCAACTAGCGTTTTTCTAAGAAAGATAGTGAAAAGAAATGAAAGAAAGCAAATTTATGTAATTTTCCAAATGGACATAAATTTGTAATTCATGTAAAAACTCAACTTGGTTAACACCGAAAATCACATATGTTAATAATCCAAGATCTAGGAAAGAAACCCATGTTTTATTACCCAAATTGAAACAAGTCGTGTTGGCGCTTGTCCTTATAACTGGCCTTTGCAGTCCTTTGATAGGAACTGGATTGCTCTCTTGGCCTTGGCTCATAGTAGCGAACAGTCTGTTTGCCACTGTATTCATATTCTTTCGTTGCTGTCACAGGGTTGTAATACCCACCAGATTCATCTTCATCTTCATCATCGTCAAAATCTTGTTCTTCACCATCAGAATATCCTCCATCTGAATATTGATCGTCAGAGTACCCACTAGTTGAATGTTGGTCATCAGAATACCCTCCAAATGAATCATCATCCGAATATCCTGCCATTGAAATCCCTTACTCTGAAGTACAGACGATAACAAGGTTTAGTGAAACCCAGATCTTGATAACCCAAAATCCTACACTGAAACCCAGGTCTCAGTTATACCCAAATCCACATTAGCGACATTACCCAAAAACCAAAACCCTAAATTTTTCTTGCTGAGAAAAAAAAAAAAAAAAAATAATAATAAACAAAGAGCAGTCGTGAACACCTTCATCAACAACTTAATAAAAGATATGAAAAAGTAACTTTTGAGAAAATCGATGGGCTCTGTTTCTTGCTTCCTAAGAAATAACTAGAAAATTTTGCCCTTCATTTTTCCCACCATTTTCTCAACAACCAAACATGCAATCACATATATCTCAAAAAGTCGCTTAAAAAAATGGAAAACGGTAAATCATACAAAGAAACGAGATCATTCACGGAGTGATCAGTCCTGAGATCTAGGAACAAGAAATCTACTGGAACAACAGCAAGAAATCATTTCTGTGCAAGGATTTTAACCCATAAAAGAAAAATAGTCACGAGAACCAAAAAAGAAGAGGCTTTTTTCATCGGTTCTTACCTTGGTTCTGTGATCGGAGTAGATAGAGTGACTTTGAGTGTGGCGATGACCAAAGCGTTTTTATCCTCTTTAAAGAATGGGATTTTTCTAATGGTATAGTTTTAATGGTATTTTTTTTAATAAATTTATATGAAAAAATATAAAAATAAATTTTAATTTTAGAATTAATATTATG